TACAAGGTGCTTAAACAATACCCAGGAGGAAAGGAGGGAGGAAAATAAGAGGGAGGAAAGGAAAAAAGGAGGAGGAACTTCTGAAAGCCCCAATTCTATGAAGTCTCCCATCCTTGCTTTCCCTCAGGTAACAATGCTGACTGACAAGAGTGGTTACTGGTAAGAAAACACATTCCAGTACTAAACATTTCACCCTCCACACATGAAATGTCTTAAAGAACCTGCTCAGAGAGTGCTGGACTCTGACACCAAGAATCACCTTTTGAGTGGACCTTGAAAAACATCACCTGCCAAAACACCCTGTTGCATGTGAAGTCTAAGCTGATGGGGTATGGTGGTGCAATGAGGCTTAAGAGCCAGCATGAAGAAAGGAAACACCAAATCGATCAGCTCTCCAGTTTTTACATTCAGGTGGAGAGCCCCGGAGCAGAAGATCCCAGGGGCAGTACCTGCTGAAGTCCAGGAGGGGCCCATGGCTGGTGTACTTGAATTTGAAGTGGTAGCACTCTGTGATGGTCTGCAAACAAAGGCAGTGGTTATGGAGCTGCGAGGCAAAGTGCTGCTGGCTGGTAACCTGGTGCTTCAACTAATGACAGCCCAGCTCCTGCCTCGGGTATGTCCACACACCTAACACAGCTTTATCCACAGCATTCATGTATGCAACTGCCCTCCACAACAATGAGGATCCACATTTCCCAGGAATCACCATGAGAAATGAGCTTGAAACATCAGCTTAAGTTTTCAGGATACGAATGGTAAGTACTACTGCTTGTATACAGGCATGAATGGTAAGTACTACTGCTTGTATACATGTATGAATGGTAAGTACTACTGCTGGTATACATGTATGAATGGTAAGTACTACTGCTTGTATACATGTATGAATGGTAAGTACTACTGCTTGTATACATGTATGAATGGTAAGTACTACTGCTTGTATACATGTATGAATGGTAAGTACTACTGCTTGTACACACGTTTCACTATATCCATACTATATCCAGTAAAATATTCCAACAGATTTACCTGAGGATCTTCTGGATGGGTATAGACCTGTATTTTTAAAGTAAAGAGAAAAAGCAGAGTCAGACCTGTTCACCCCTCTAAGCAGCCACCTTAACCAAGCATGTACCTTACCCTTCAGAGATACTCACTGCCAGGACAATCATTCTGAGCTGTTGGAAACAGAAGGAAAGAAAAAGAACATTAAATGCATTCCATTGCTCACTTCTGCTTGCCAAGCTGTTCTGGTTCTCTAGCTCTGGAAACCAATGCAGACAACTGTATTGCCTGTTTGAAGGGAAACCTCTTTATATGTTCAATTCCTTGCCTGTTTCAGAAAGGACATAACAACTGGCAGAAGAAAATGCCCACGTAGCCCTGACTTTAAGTGTCTGCTTACAAAGAATATGATCCTGAGGTGGGTATGCAACCACACTGTAGCTGTTTTAACACATTAAAGCACAGCTATTCCCTAACCAGAAAGTCCTGTAACTACACTGCAGGTAATGGATTTAGGTCAATGAATGCTTTGAAACATTTAAAATAGCTAAATGATAGAAAGACTTACATATTTCTTCTGCAAGGCATCGTAGCATCCTAACATCCTGCAAAAACCAGATGATATTGTCCATCTAATCTCCATTTGCTTTGCTTCTGACCAACTAAAATGGTCCCACCCCCTCTGAAAACGGACTTGCCATTTCAAATACCATTGCCAACCCTGCCCTGAAAGCAGTGCCTGTGCTGCTGTGCACCCACAGCAAGGCACCTTTGCTATCTGCCCCCAAGCAGAAAGGTTCCTTTCAGAGCTGCCACGCTGTGGCAGTGGTCCAGATGCACGGAAACCAACGCACCATTTCACCAGCTGAGTGGAGCCAGGACAGTTCTTGTCTTCCCTCAGGATTTTGACAGAGACATCTCCAAAAAAGCAGAATGAATCCATGCAGTTACTCAGGACAAAATGGAATGACATTGCTAAGAAAGGACAGTTCATTCCCTAAAAGCATCTAGCAAAAGCAGACTCAAATCAGCATTACCAACAGGTGTAGGCAGAGTTTTAACTGCTGAGGCAGCATCACCATTAGCAACTGTTCATGTCTTAGTAAAGTTTCCCTCCCAGTCACTGAAAATGGCCATTACATTAAGACCAAGTGGCTCTAAAAGCACTCAGTAACTTCTTAACAACCCTATTGACAATAGATTCTGCAAAGCAGCAGGAAACCAGCCTGTTACCATCCATGTATCGTGTCCTATAGGCACTCTCAGGGAAGATCCCTCTCAGGTACGTAATGCAGGACACTGCTACTGCCAGGAGCCTCTTCACTAGCATCAGGGACTGCTGCTCAGTGGCTATTTTGGTAGGAAACACAACTGCACTCTGAAAGAGGACGGAAGAAGTTAATCCCTGCCCACATCCAACCCAGACAGGCTGCAGCCTGGTCCAGTTCTGGCTTAGCATTGGAACTGAATGGCAAAGCATCACTTTTGCTATTGATAACGTTAAGCAATTTCCTAACACTTGCTGTATTCAGGTCATAGCTGATCTCTACCAAGTGCACAAGCACAAAGGTTGGACTCAAGCTATTCTGTTATCCTATCCTTGCTCACAGTTGAAAGATGGAATTAACCTGCAGTCCTCAAGCAAAGCAGCATTACAGAGCCCCCGGGGGCCCTGCATCAGCTGCAAGTGACTGCCTTTTCCAGTTCAAACACCACCCTGTGCTGAGCACACTCGGACACCGTACCGCACAGCTCCTCTGCTTCTGAGCAGTTGCCATCTTGCAGCTCTCTCCTGCCTGTTAAGGAAACACTGCATTAACACGGGTCTGGCCATTCACAAGTGCAGCTATTCCACCTCTGATACCTGAACCCACAAACACTGCCTGCGCAATGGACCCGTTACCAGCTCAAACCAATGTCTGAATGTGCTGGAGGCACCGTCCCATTAGTGCTCACACACCACGGAGACGAGGCCCTCAGTGCCATGGGTTAGGGGTGGCCTTGGCAGGGCTGGGAGCAGTTGGCCTGGATGAGCTGAAAGGGCTTTTCCACCCTTGTTCTGTTTCCAAAGGACCCTAAGAAAGGGCTTTCCCCATTGAAGCCACCTCAGGGAAGCATTCCCAAGGTTTTGGGCTGCTTCCCTCTGCAAATTCAACGAGTCCTGGGGAAGGTGACCCCTCAGGAGCTATTCCTGTTATTGAGCCATGCTACCACTAACCCTTTGGCCCTCAGCACCATGACCCAAGCCTCCCCATCACCTCTATAAACAGTCCAGCACATGCCCAAGGCCATGACAATGGGTTTGTAACTGGGAGGAGAGCTCTGGACCATGCAGGGACCTGAGTTCCCCCTCAGGTGAGCCCCCACAGACCTGCCTGGTGCAGGCCGGAGCTCAGCACCTCCGTGAGGATCACAGCGCCAGACGAGCCCCTCCGCGGCACTATTCCCTTCCCAAAGCCCCCTGCCCCTCGGGGTTACCACCGACCTCAACAGAGAAACCAGCCCGAGGGCTGGAGCACGCTGACAGCGCAGCACCGCTCCACGCCCGGACTGAGCCCTCAGAGCCGCCACAGCGCCGGCCCTCCCCTTTTATAGGGCACGGGGCCGTGTGCAAAACAGGGGCGGGAGCGAGCGCCGCGAGCCGTGCGCACAGCGCGGCCCCTGCCGTGCGCACCAAGATGGCGGCGGGCGGAGCTTGGGGGGGGGTGTGTGGGGTTATGGTTCCCTGCTGTATACATTGTACAGGGGGGTAGGTCAAGCTGCTTGCTTAAACGTTATTGCTTCCTCATGCTTATCGTGCTTGCAGTGTACAAGGGGGTAGGTCAAGCTGTTTGCTTAACAAGGTTACTGATACATGGGTAGACCCCATAACTCGTTAGAGTTGTAGGGATGCTTTTATTCAGCACTGAGGCACATGGGGGTCGCTCCTCCAAAGCCTGCGTGCCTTTCCTTTGCCACTCAGTTTATATTATGTATAATGAATACCTAAACATGAGAGTGCTTCACGCCTAATACACACGAAAAACCTATTCCTCTCTGGTATTACAGTTTTCTGGCATTCGTGCCATTGATGCACCTGCACAGTTCCTCCTGGTGGTGGTCGTTAGGGGGTTGTGAGGATGAAGGCCTGTAGTTCTTCATCACCACGAATAACCTCCTGCTTCCACGCAGACACAATGGGGTTTCGGCTCCTATGGAAACCTCAGGTTCAATGCAAGGCGGTTCTATGTATCTTAAAGCAGAAACTTGTCAAGTTTACAAATGTTTCTCTGGCTATCGTTTGTTCCTTTTCTTTCTATGGGTGCTATTTAAACAAGAATGTCAGGCGTCAGCAACCTCTGTGTTTGCTTCACTTACACTCAATGGGACAGGCCCCATTCCCGGTCCCTGCCTCGCTCTATGGAATGGCGACAGGAGGAGCCAGGGGAGCACCTTTCCCAAGGGAATGTGCCCTCCTGCTTTCTTAGCCCGGACAATTCCCCACGCACAGGCAGGGCTGCAGGGACTGAGCAGGGGCACCGAGGCCTCGTCCCCACGGGGTGTGAACACCTCCAGGGCCGGTGCCCGCAGCCTGTTCCAATGGGGCAGGAGCTGCTCCTCCGCTCCATCCCCACCTCCCCTGGCGCAGCTTGAGGCCCTCTCCTCCTGTCCCACCCCTGTCCGGTACCCCCGGGCAGCAGCGCTCAACATGGCGGCTCCGAGGAGCTGACCAGCAGGCGGCGGCCGTGCGCGTGTGAGCGCCCGCAGTGCGCATGCGGGAGGGCCGCGACTCCTTCTCCTTCCCTTTCGCTTCCCTCCGGTGGTGCTCGGAGCCCGCCCGCTCCCGTCCCTCGGTGCCGCTCCCGTCCCTCGGTGCCGCTCCCGTCCCTCGGTGCCGCTCCCCGCCGTTCCCCCGGCTCCGGGTCCGCTCCCCGCTCCCTAGAGGCGTGCGCCTGGCGTGCGGCGCCATCTCCATGGTAACGCGCGGAAGGGGCGGGGCGCGCCGCGGCGGGCCGGAAATGACGCGCTGCGAGGCGCGGGGGCGGTGGAGCCGCAGCCGGAGCCATGTCCGCGGGCGGAGCAGCGCAGCGCGATGCCGGGGCCGCCGCGGGGTGAGGCCGCGCCGCGGGTCCCTCACAGCGCCCCCGGGGTCAGCGGCGGCTCCGGGGCCAGGCCTGGAGCTCACGCGGCCGCCGCTGAGGCCTCTCTGTTTTGCAGGCGCCGCAGTAAATGGGACCAGCCCGGCCCGGCCCCCGCCTTCCTCCTCCCGGGCACGGCGCCGCTGCCCGGGCGGCCCTTTCCCGGCGGCGGGGACGGCGGCTCCGCGGTGGCCGGGTCCGAGAGCTCCGCGGCGCCCTCGGGAGCGCTGGATGCGGCCGCGGCTGTGGCCGCCAAGATCAACGCGATGCTGATGGCCAAAGGGAAGCTCAAGCCGGCGCCCAGCACCGCGGACAAGGTGGGTGCGCGGAGCGGAGCGGAGCGGGGGAACCACGGGGGTGTCACGGCTGTGATGTGGAGACCTGCGGGCATTGAGTGTCCGAGGAGCCATCAGTGAGGTGGGAAACGATGGGGAGCGGAGAGGCCCGGCCTGGATTGGGTTGAAGGGACCTTAAAGCTCCTCCAGCTCCATGTGCAGGGACCCCTTCCACTGGAGCAGCTTGCACCAAGCCCCTGTGTCCAACCTGGCCTTGAGCACTGCCAGGGATGGGGCAGCCACAGCTTCTCTGGGCACCCTGTGCCAGCGCCTCAGCACCCTCACAGGGAAGAGCTTCTGCCTAATATTGAACCTCAATCCCCCCTGTTTCAGTCTGAACCCATCACCCTTGTCCTGTCACCAGTGCCCCTGAGGAAGGTCCCTCTCCAGCATCCTTGTAGCCCCCTTCAGACACTGGAAGCTGCTCTGCGGTCTCCGCGCAGCTTTTGCCATCTCTGTCTCTGGCTTTTTCTTTCAGAGCTCTTAGATACTGGCACAGAACGTGGTGCCCTTGATTTAAACCAAGAATCGAGGGGGGAAAGTGTATTCCTGGTGTGGGCGAGTTCAGGTCTTGAGCAGGAGCTCTGTGTCGAAGAGGAGTTGAAATATGAATCCCAGGTGTTGTTAGGCTCAGCTTTCTGCCCGAGCTGCCAGCTCGAGTGTGAGATGCCTTGGGTTCAGCTTGAGCAACTTCGCTGCTTGCTTCTACATCTGTTTGCTCTATTTATAGAGCAGAAGCAGCAGTTACTTAGGGTACTCCAGTGTGCTGAAGGTAAAAGTGGTGGCTTCATTTAGGCTTAAGGTTGTGAGAGGTAAATGAGGAAGCAGTGGATGTGGTGTGCTTTCTGTAAAGGTTCAACAGCTGAAAAGGGAGAAAGGAAAGGATTTTCCTCTCTAGAGCACCAGGGCCTGGTGGGTGCAGCGTTTTTCTCTGCTTTCTATCTATTTCTGGTCTTTGCCACGGTTCTCTTTGAAGCTGCAGGCGCTGGGAAAAGGTCCAGCTACAAATAAAAGCAAAGATGACCTTGTGGTGGCAGAGGTGGAAATCAATGACGTGCCCCTCACGTGCAGGAACCTGCTGACGAGAGGACAGACTCAGGATGAGGTACGGGCAGGCTCTCTGGCTGCTTTGTTGGGCTTGGCAGCACGCTTGGGCCTCTTTGTAAGGCTGAAAGAGCTGCGATCAACTGCAGTCAGTGGTGGTTTCCTTTTCACCAAGCTCAGGGGTTTCTGGAGACCCTTTGTTTAGTGGTTTATTCACTACAGTATCATATAATGAGCTCAGGTGGCACAATTGATATCTTTTAGTGGGCCCTATCCCTTTTCTCACCGCTTTATTAATGTGTCCCCTATAGAACCCCCCAAAGCTTTGGGGTTTCGCTGTGCTTGCTTTCTTGGTGCTCACCTTGTCCCTGGGCTTTGCAATCACTTGTAGATAAGTCGCCTGAGCGGAGCGGCTGTGTCGACCCGAGGGAGGTTCATGACAGCAGAAGAGAAAGCCAAAGTGGGACCAGGGTTTGTATTTCTCTTTGGGGGCTCCGTGGTGGGGCTGTGGGGTTGGTTTTCATGGGCAGTGTCACCATTGGGGGGCAGTCAATGGGGTATTGAGTGCGTGGGATGCATTTGCTGTTGTGTAGTGCTAAGTGCATGGCTGTTCCTCCAGCTGCCTAATACTGAGAGATGAAAACAGAGTGTATAAAGTCCTTATGGAAGGCTTTCTGTCTGGAACAAAAGTGTATGTCTTAGATTGGCTCCGTTCTTGTGTGTTCTTTGGGAGTTTAGTGGAATATTTGACTGTTTCCTTTGCAGAGATCGTCCTTTGTATCTTCACGTCCAGGGCCAGACACGGGAGCTGGTTGACAGTAAGTGCAAACTGAATCCTTCTCTTCCATCATTACTTGTGGAAAAGGGGGAAATTAAGGGCCTTTGTTATGGCCAGCATGGATTTGTACTGTAAATATCTTGGTGTTGGTAACAGGTGCTTGTTTCATCCTTTGTGAGCCAATCTGGAATGCTAATACTGGATCTGGGTGATCTGGACAGTTGACAAGGGCTGAAACAACTGAGTTCCCTGTTTTGTTAACTAGGAGCTGTTAACAGAATTAAAGAGATCATTACTAATGGAGTAGTGAAAGCAGCCACAGGCTCTAGTCCAACCTTCAACGGAGCTACAGTTACTGTCTACCACCAGCCAGCCCCTATTACTCAGATGTCTCCAGCAGTTGGCCAGAAACCTCCATTCCAGTCAGGGGTGAGTAATGCATTGCTGTGACTATCACTGGTGACAGGATTTACCTGTCACAACGTGTACATTGTGTGTCCTGGAGGGCTGATCGAGCTGAGCCTGAAGAGTGAGGTTCAGGGGACAGCAGCCTCCTAAAGGAAAAGGGATGGAGAGACCAGTCCTGCTTACAGAAGAGCAAAGGGCTGACTCCACCATCTGACACTCGCCTGTCACAGGAACACCGTTTCTGGCCTCAGAGTGAAGCAATAAGCTTTTACTGTTCCATTTCCAGATGCATTATGTTCAGGACAAGTTATTTGTTGGATTGGAACACGCTGTACCTACGTTTAACGTGAAGGAGAAGGTGGAAGGGCCTGGTTGCTCCTATTTGCAGCACATTCAGATTGAAACGGGTGCCAAAGTCTTTCTTCGTGGCAAAGGCTCAGGTTGCATAGAGCCAGCATCGGGCAGAGAAGCTTTCGAACCCATGTACATTTACATCAGGTATGAGGGGTGTTTGGAAACACGTGGAAACAGTGGAAGAAGGAGCTTGCAGAAACACTGGTGCTCATGAGCTCTTCCTTTGTGTGTGCTTGCAGTCACCCAAAGCCAGAAGGTTTGGCAGCTGCTAAAAAGCTGTGTGAGAACCTATTGCAAACCGTGAGTAGCTCTTGCAGAGCCTGTCACAGCCCCAGTGTGTGCCTGGCTATTGCTGCTTTGTGTGCTCCCAGCAGAACTGGCCCTGTGTCCGGCCTTCCTAAGGGTGTTTTCCCTTCCGAGCACTGCTGAGTCTTTCTGTTAGCATTGGTAATGGAGCGTGGGCTGCAAAGCCTCTTCTGAAGAATAGATGGAAGCTTTTAGCTTCTTTGAAGTGGTTCGTTTGCCACTCTATTTCCTGTGCAAGATTATCCTTGTGTTACAGGAGCCGGTCCCAGAGCCAGCAGGATGAGTGGGGTTTTGTTCTCTGTGTGTGTGTGTGGATTATTGCTGTCTCTCTGCATGCTGTCTTCTGGAAGCAAAGCCCCCTTACAGCTGTGTGGTCAAATGCCTTTTGCCTGTGAAAGGTTAATACACTACATAATGAATGGTTCTTGTCTAATCTCTGCCAATTCCTTGCAGGTTCATGCTGAGTACTCTCGGTTTGTGAACCAGATAACCACTGCAGTACCCCTCGCAGGTAAACCTCAGTGATAGCGAAGCCTTTGGGGTTGCATTTTGCAGAGTTGTGCTGGCAGTTAGTCCTGTGGAAGCCTTGAACTTGCAGCCCTTCAGTTTTGGCAGTGAAATGGGGTGTTTTGGGGACAAACTGAAGGTGTTTTCTCTCTCTAGGCTTCACACAGCCTGCCGCTATCAACAGCGTACCTTCCCAGCCCTCCTATTACCCTTCCAATGGCTATCAGTCTGGTTATCCTGTGGTTCCTCCTCCTCAACAACCAGTTCAGCCACCATATGGGGTACCAGGCATAGTACCACCTGCAGTACCTTTGGCACCTGGAGTCTTAACAACGCTACCTACGGGAGTTCCGCCTGTGCCAACGCAGTATCCCATATCTCAGGTGCAGCCCCCAGCCAGCACTGGCCAGGTACTGCCACAGTCCATCTTCTGCCCTTTGGCTGTCCGTTTATTGAGTTGTTTCTTTGCTAGCAAGAAAATACTCGGAGTAGTTCCAGATGGAGAATTCCTGAGGGCTTGTGGGTTTGTTCATGCTTTGCTGCTGTCTGAGCAACGACATTGTGATATTGATAGGGGGCCTATGGGGATGCTGGGGATGGGCTCTTCATTAGGGACTGTAGTGGTAGGACAAGGGGTAATAGGTTAAAACTGAAACAGGGGAAGTTCAGATTGGATATAAGGAGGAAACTCTTTCCTGTTAGGGCGGTGAGGCACTGGAATGGGTTGCCCAGGGAGGTTGTGAATGCTCCATCCCTGGCAGTGTTCAAGGCCGGGTTGGACGAAGCCTTGGGTGAGATGGTTTAGAACGAGGTGTCCCTGCCCATGGCAGGGGGTTGGAGCTTGATGATCTTGAGGTCCTTTCCAACCCTAATGATTCTATAATTGTTGGATGCCTGCTTCAGCCTCTGTTTTTCATAACCTGTGAACATAAAGGATATGTGCAGGGGGTGCTCACTCCCATAGGGAAAGCGTTACCACAGGCTTTGATGCAGGCCTGTGGAGGTACAATGAGCTGGAGCTACAGACCGTGGTTAGTCTCTAGAAATGAAATACTTGTTTCCTCTTGAAGCTGTGAATTTCCTTCCAGTTTCTCTTGGGTTCTGCCTATGTGTGTGTTCTGCTCCTGTGTCTGGAAGGCTGCGTTTGATGGATGCTTCCTATGCCCATTATCAAATGCTCTTGTCTTGTCTTCCATCTTCTGCACGCCAGAGCCCACTGAGTGGTCCTTTCCTTCCTGCTGCCCCAGTTAAAACCACCCTGCCGACTGGTTCCCAGCCACAAGTGCAACCCCATCCCCAGGGTCAAAAGCGACGCTTCACTGAGGAGCTGCCGGATGAGAGGGAGTCAGGACTGCTGGGATACCAGGTGGAATAAAATCACCCATTTTCCTTCATTCACCAAAGCAGAACTCGGCTGGAAAGGGATGATGTAGCACAGTTGATGTGGAACAGTCGTGCAAGGCCTTTGGCAGATGGCTGCAGTTGTTGCACAACCTCAAGACCACGCTTTGGTTTCTTTGAGTGGATGCACCGTTGCTAAAGTGTGGCTTGCTGATGCCTTGGCACCTTGCTTTCATACCTCAGTCTTACCTGAAGGCTGCTGGTGCATTCAGGTCAAAGAGATGCCCACAGTGTGGTTCTGCTTAGTTTAAAGGGAGATTCTTTGGGGTCTGGGGGGTCTTTTGCAGGTTGTTTGAGGGGTGGGAGGGAACCATGGTAGTAGCTCCCAGGTTTTCCCCATTGACCTTCCTTGCAGGTTGCACTTGAGAGGATTTCAAGCAGCCTGACGTAGAAATAGTTATTTTTGTTTTAAAGAGCAGAGCAGTTGATTTTAGGTAAAGTAATTTTGAGCTCTTCAGGCTTGTATGTGAGAAGAGAGAGCTTCTGCAAATGCTCCTCAGGTGATCCAGCCCTGCTCACGTACAACCTCTGCCTAGAGGCAGTAAGCACCTGCCTCTCTGTTAGCCCTACTGTGACCATCTCCAGCAGAGCTGACTCTGTACAGTGCTCAGAATTAGCTGACCGAGGAGGGAATAAGTTATCCATGACCCAAGGCTACTGCTGAGGTGGAGGAGGTGATGAGGTGCCTTCCCTCGTGCTTCTCAGGCATGTTCCTTACTGCATTACCCTCAGTATCTATAGGAGAAAGCCTCTTGTTTACCAGGGGTGATTAGTGGTTCCTTCTGCTAGTTGGCAATATGCTCTGAAAAGTTGGCTTTCCTATCATTATCATTAAGGAGCTGGAGCTTATGTTGTAGTGGTAGATTTGCTAATGCCGTGTGTTTTTCTGCTCATAGCATGGACCCATTCATATGACTAATTTAGGTACAGGCTTCTCCAGTCAGAGTGAACTCGATGGAGCCGGGTCGAAGGCAGCAAGTTCCTCAGGAAAGGAGAGAGAGAGGGACAGGTGAGTGAGGGCAGGAGGACATCCAGGTCTCTCCTGCTCCTGGTGGAAAGCCCAGGGCATCTGTGTTCCATGTTCTCTGCTGGGAAACAGCACCAGAGCATGGCTGGGCTTGGAAGGGACCTTGAAAGAGCATTTAGGCCACCCCCTGTCCTGGGGGAAGGGGCATCTATGAGACCAGGTTGCTGCACACAGCTTGGTGTCATTAGTCCCACTGTCTGGCATTGATGAAGATATTAAATAGTATTGATCCCAGTATGGACCCTTGGGGGATAGCGCCTGTTTACTGGTTTCCACTTGGATGCTGAGCTGTTGACTTTAATTGTTTGCATGTGGCCACCCAGGATATTCCTTACCCATTTAATAGCTCATCCCTCAAATCCTCTGTGATTTAGAGCTAGGAATGTTGGGGTGACCATAGGGAAGCTTTACAGCAGTCCAGGTAGGTGACATCAGCTGCTCTTCCCTTGCCCACTGACGCAGTCACTCCATCCAAAAAGACCTCTACATTAGTCAGGCAATTAAAGTTAAGGGTCAAGGACTGGCTTCTGAGCCTGTTTGCTGTTACCTTTGACTCTTTGCTTGCTTAAACCAGAAGGACTGAGGGCCTGCATTGCTTTAAACAGGCAGTTGATGCCTCCGCCAGCTTTTCCTGTCACTGGGATGAAATCGGACTCTGAAGACAGAAATGGTGCGGGGTCTTTACCAGGCAACCATGGTGAGTGCAGTGAATGAGAGCCACTTGTAAGTCAAGTTTCCTTTCCCATATGGGTTCACGCTGGTCTTAACACGTGTTTAAAGCAGTGGGGGTTCTTTTTGGCTCTTCTTTAGACTGCCTAGATGAAAAGCAGCTCCTGCTGCACTGCTCTAAACCCACTGTGATTAACACAGGATGCTTCTCTTAGAGCCTCAATAAATACCTGTCTGGATGAGGAGTGTAATGGACTGAAGGACAGGTATTTTTGACCCAGAGGCACACGGTCTCCTAGGCTTGTTTTGTAACACGGATGTCCTGTGGCTTTACTTTGTGAGCAGCTCTCTCTAGAGGCCCTGTCGGTGGGAGTTGTGGTTCAGGTGTGTATGCACAGACAGGAGTTGTGTCTGCAAAGGACACACGTGCTCTCGGAGCTCATCCCCTCGTAGGGCTGGGTTTGCAGCTTGGTAAAACACGGCATCACTCCAGCTCTGGGGGTGGTTTGGTGCCTGGCAGGGCTGCAGGTGCCTCACGTTAGGCCTCTTTAACAGCAGTTTCTCTGCAGTATTGCTCCCAGAGGTTGTCCTTCTGTGAGCTTGCTTTTGAGCTAAGGTCCTCCTTTTCTTGACACGTTGATCTCTGTGACGGTGACGTTGCCATCGCTGATGCCCAGTTGCTAACTTGCCCTTTCTTGTGTGTTTCTTTCTTCTTTCTCTGTTCTCTTACATGGTTCTGATGGATCACATGTGCTGTTGCTGCTGGTGTTGCGTGTGGCCTTCGACCTTGGATGACCATTGGCCTTGTGACCTCAAAATGGTGTCCAACTAACGATTCACAATTAACGTCTTTTTTTATTAACTCGTTTTGGGGCATTTTTATCTCTTTTTGGTTTGATTTTTCCCTTCTTGGGGGCTTGGGGGGGGTGTGTTTTGTTTTCCCCTCCTAGATCATCAAGCAAAGAAGATGAAAACTGCAGAAAAGGGCTTTGGTTTAGTGGCATATGCTGGAGATTCATCAGACGAAGAGGAGGAACATGGGGGCCATAAAACCGCAAGTACCTTTTCACAGGGATGGAGTTTGGGGTACCAGTACCCGTCCTCACAACAGCGAGCTAAACAACAGATGCCATTTTGGATGGCACCGTAGGAGCTGCAGAGAAGAGTTTTCATTCATCTGGGTTCCCCCCTCCTTTAGCAATAATGCATGTATATTACAGCCTGAACTTTGCAAATACCCCTTGTTTTTACAGTTGCAGAAAAGGTTCAGTGTTCCCCCCTTTGAAAGGGATCCATCGTTTTTAAACTCCTTATTTCTGCAGTGCATCTGTCCAATAAAACCCCACCATGAACTGCAGTAGTGGTGACAGGGCCTAGGCCCTTGTGCAGTGGGGGAAGTGCTGTGAAGAGAAGAGAGGGAAGGCTCCATTGTGCCAGGATCACTTAAAAGGGCCAGAGTCAGCCCCGCTGCCTTCACCCTCCTCCTGGTGCTTGTGGTGTACGGAGCGCTCCTGTGCTCAGCCTGGGTTTGCAGCCCTGTTGGAGCCGATGGTGACCACAGCTTCAGTGTTGGGACTCAGCCAAGGAAAGGAAGGCACAATCACCGTGATGCAGCTGAGGAGCGGGGTTCTTCAACCTCTTCCTTTGTGTTTCACTTCTCGAGCATCTCCTGGAACTCAGCACCGGGGGTTTCTTCTTTTACTGCCCCACCCCTCCTCCTTCCAGCCGGATGCCAGGGCAGGGGCGCACATGGGTTCGGCTCCATCTTCTCCCCTCCCTCCGGGCTTGGTCCCATGCCCGAGGCGCACAGGACTCTGCTGAGAGCTTGGCCCCATCTCTTCCTTCATCCTCCACCCCTTGTGGCTCACGGTGGGCACCGTCCGGGACCCCTCCCGCCTTGACCCCGGGCCCAGGCTCTTGGCTTGGGGATGGACATGAACTGGAACAGGCGTTTGCGTGGCGGTGCAGAACTCTCGGATGGGGAAGGGCCGTGGCGAGGCGATGCTCGGCGTCCGGAACGGGACAAACGGCCTGGACCCGGGGCTGCGCGGTGCGGCCGTGCCCCGGGGGCCGCGCTTAGACCACCCCCCCCCGGCCCTCCCCGTGCTGTAAATACCGGGGCCCCCCCTTTCGTGGCCATTAAAAGCGCAAAGAGCCCGGGTCTGGCCGCTCGCTGGGGCGCGGGTGCCGCCGTGGGGAGAGCGCGAAGGGAGCGGCGGCGCCCCCGCGCCTGCGCTGACCCCTCCGGGCCGCCGTCCAGCCCCGCCCCTCGGCGCGGGCCTGGCCGTGGAGGAGCCGCCGCCATTTTGGTGCCGCGGCCTGAGGCGGCGGAGGGGAGCGGAGCGGGGCCGCGGCCGCCGCCGCCGTTCACGATCGTTCTCTCTCCGCTGCGACGCTGAGGAGATGGAGCCCGGAGCGCGGCCGGGCGGCGGCGCCGCGCAGGGGCAGTCCCGCGAGTACAAGCTGGTGATGCTGGGCGCCGGGGGTGTCGGCAAGAGCGGTGCGTGCGCAACGGGGGCCGCGGGAGGAGGGCTCCTAACGGGGGGTGTCCGGATGCTCGGGCCGGGCCGGGGGAACGGGAGCCCGGCGTCTCTCGGCTTGCAGCGAGCGGGGCTCTGGTTCCGCTGCCGGGGAAGGAGCGGGCTCAGGCCCGGTAAGCGCTGGGCGCTGGGGCCGCAGGTGCTGCCCAGCCCGTGCCATTGAGCCTCTGGCTTTCGTTCGTAGCCATGACCATGCAGTTCATCAGCCACCGCTTCCCGGAGGACCACGACCCCACCATCGGTAAGGAAAGGCGCGCTCCTCCGGTGCCGTTGGGGTGAAGCTCTTGCGGGGTCCGTTGCTTGCAAGCACTCGGTTGAAAGCGAGCTGTGCGCTGGGGACCCAAGCGCTTCGGGTTTCTCAAAGCTATGAAGAGTCCGGCAGCCCCAGGCTGAGGTTTAGCTCCTCGCTGCGTTCCCTGTCCCATAGACTGAGGCTGTTCGCTGGCTGTGTTGGCAGGGAAGGGCTGGAAACCGGCGGGGGTCGGTGCGAGCTGCCTGTAAACCCCGTCCCCATGGCGGGGAGCGGCTCCCTCTCAGCCCCGGTTGTGTCCTGGGGTTTAGAGGGAGCCCCAGAGCTTCCTGTGCCGCTGCAGGAGCTCTGCAGCACCCCAGAGGAACCTCTCCAGCAGGGCAAAGGGAAGGGGGGGAACAGGGCTCATCCATCGGCTTCCAAAGGGAGCAGCAGCTGGGGGGGGGCAGCTCTGCCTCGCGTTCCGGGTGGGTTCTGCCTTTGGGAGGAGGGCAAGGCCCTTCCCCTGTGCTGTGAACTGAAGGGAGGCTGCGGAGCGGGGTCCCAGGAGGTGGCTGCAGGGAGGACCTTAAATCCCATGGGTTGGTGTTAAATGGAGCTCGGGGGAACGCGGCCGAGGGGGGGTCCCAGCTTGGTGGGGTTCTCTTTGAGACCTGAGCGCTGCACCTCGTGGCCAACCTTGTTCTTTCCCTTGTGCTGTGGATCCACAGAGGATGCGTATAAGATACGGATCCGCATTGATGATGAGCCTGCCAATCTGGATATCCTGGACACAGCAGGGCAGGTATGGCAATAAAGAGCATTAGGAGGATGTGAAGAGTCTCCAATGGTCAGGCATAGAGACAGCCACCCTGGAACAGCATCCATGCCTTTGCTTTTTGAGCTTTCCTAAGCTTTAGAGTCATAGAATAGTTCGGGTTGAAAGGACCTTAAGATCATCCAGTTCCAACCCCCTGCCATGGGCAGGGACACCTGGCGTTGCTCACAGCATCTGTATGGCACTGTCTGTATTTAGGCACCTCAGGAGGGTGCTCTGCTTCCAAGCAGTGCTTTCTCTGTTGCACCATTCTGTTCTGATCAAGAAGCAGTAGGTACTGGTGGTAAATGGTGTGTTGGGGTGATGTCTAGTGAGGAAACTCGATGTTAATCCCAGGCTGTGCTGCCTTGTCCTGCAGTAATGGGACATTAGAATGGGCTGGGTTGGAAGGAACCTCAAAGCTCATCCAGTTCCAACCCAGACCCCTTCCACTGGAGCAGGATGCTCCCAGCCCCTGTGTCCAACCTGGCCTTGAGCACTGCCAGGGATGGGGCAGCCCCAGCTCCTCTGTGCCAGGGCCTGCCCCCACCTGAGCACTGGTGGCCTTGGTGCAGCTGCAAGGTCCCCATCTCTCCGCAGGCAGAGTTCACGGCCATGAGGGACCAGTACATGAGGGCTGGGGAGGGCTTCATCATCTGCTACTCCATCACGGACCGGCGCAGCTTCCACGAGGTGCGCGAGTTCAAGCAGCTCATCTACCGCGTGCGCCGCACCGACGACACCCCCGTGGTGCTGGTGGGCAACAAATCCGACCTCACGCAGCTGCGCCAGGTAAAGGGCACCCCCGGGCCCAGCCTGCAGGCTCCTCCTGCTGGAACACACAGGGATGCCAAGGGAACCCATCGCCCCTTGTGCTGTCACCACAGCCCCTCTCCAGCGTCCCTGTAGCCCCCTTCGGACACTGGAAGCTGCTCCGTGCGGTTTCTCCTCTCCACCTTTGTTTCATGAATGTCCAGAGGGTTCCTTGCAGTTGGCTGCGTTGCTGCAGGAGTGAGAGTGAAAGAAAACCAGGTTTTCAGAGAAAGGCATAGGAATCAGTGGCCCTGAGCTGGTCTGGGGCAGGGAAGCTGCATGCACAGCTCCAGAGCAGGCAGAACAAGGGGAATAAACCTGGTACCTGCACCAGTGGGGCAGCAGGGCCAGGGCAGGGATTGTGGTGAGGCTGCACCTTGAATCCTGTGCTCAGCTCCGGGCCCTCACTACAAGAGAGACATTGAGGGGCTGGAGCGGGGCCATAGGAGGGCAATGGGGCTGGAGCACAAGGGATGGGGAAGGGCTGAGGGAGCTGGGGGTTCAGATGGGGAAGAGAAGGCTCAGGGGAGACCTGATGGCTGCCTACAACTGCTTGAGAGGAGGATGGAGCCAGGAGGGGCTGGGCTCTGCTCCCAAGGGATGGGACAGGAGGAACCGGCCTCAAGCTGCACCAGGGCAGGTTTAGATGGAGCTGGGGACCAATTCCTGCCCCACTGGACCAGGCTGCCCAGGGCAGGGCTGCGGACATCAGCCCTGGAGGTGTTCACACACCGTGGAGCCAAGGCCTCAGTGCCATGGGGCAGTGCTGGGGTAAGGGTTGGCCTGGATGAGCTGCAAGCTCCTTCCCAACCCAGCTGATGCCGTGGTTCTGGTTCTGCCTTTCCTGATGATGGGGTTCCTATTGCAGGTCTCCAAAGAAGAAGGCTCCTCTTTAGCTCGAGAGTTCAACTGCCCTTTCTTCGAGACATCGGCCGCCTTCCGCTACTACATCGATGATGTGTTCCATGCCCTGGTGCGGGAGATCCGCAGGAAGGAGAAGGAAGCAGTGATGGCCATGGAGAAGAAATCCAAACCCAAAAGCAGCGTGTGGAAAAGGCTCAAGTCCCCCTTTCGAAGGAAGAAGGATTCAGTCACTTGAACAGAGCGGCTTCCTCTGCCCATAGGACAAAACCTGGGAACAGCCGTTTGTAACCAAAGCAGTTTAGTGACGACGTTTTGGTGGTGTCTTAAACCTCAATGGACTTCTGTGAGAGAAGCCCTGACTTTTACCAGTTCTTGTTTAGAATGATGCTCCCTTCGTTTCAGACATTCCACTTCAGACCAGTAGCACTTGTCCCGTTGTTTGTTGTCCGGTTTGGACTGGATGCAGCAGTTGGTGCTTGGAGGTTGGTTACGGATGCTGCGGGTCTGCAGCCCTGCACTGGGGAGCGTGGCTGCATGCTGGCAGCTGAACTGTGTTAGGGTATTGCTGAGTTCTCCCCAGCTGAAGCTTCTGGTTCTGGTGCTTTGCACAAGCAGATGCTGCTGCTCTGGGGAGCGGTGGCCTGCACCCCACAGAGGGGGCTGAGGAGTAGCTTACACCGTGGCCAGCAGCCCTGGCTGGGTGTGGGTACCACTGACAGGAGCTGTGCTGGAGTCCTCATTCCCTTCCAGCACCAGTGTGGAAGCGGTGAGTTCCCAGCAGAGGTGGAGGTGGGCTTCAAACCAAGGCAGAAGCAGCAAATCCTGGTTCCTATGGCAGCTGTAACTTGGCAACAGGCGTGGAGATGGAAGTTTCCTGCTGTCCCCAGCATTTACTGGGTGCCGCAGCGTGTGTCGTGTCACGGTGCTGCAGGAACCACAGCTTTGGGTTCTCTGACTCGCTGGTTGAAAGCCATAGCTGTGAGGGGGGGGCTGGCTTATGGATTTCCACTCTGGTTTATGCTCCTGTCCTAAAGGAGCCAGGAGCTTTGGGAAGCAGAAGCAGTCCCAGGTTATTTCCTGTGATAACTCCTT